TGTATTACTTAGCGCAGTCGAAAGTCTCGCCTTTGCCCTCTTATTCGTTATTTTGTAGGTGGAGATATTGTTTTATTAGTATCCGACAATTGCGAAAGAGTTGAAAAAATTTCATGGCTCTTAAGTCTCTGATTCTTAAACACGGTCGTGTCATAGTTCGAATCTTATGACTAATTTTAGGGGTCAGTTTGGCCTGCGTAATCAATATTCAGGGGCCGTCGGGGTTTTTTTTAGGTTTCAAAAAAAAAGAAAAGAAAAGGAAGAGAAATAATTTAGGACGAGAATCGTATGTCTTTTTGAACCCTAGAATTGAGGTCTTGCTAACTGCTTGCAAGCACTCATCGCTTAATCCTGCAAGAGGGATCCCTGAAATATTTTAGTATCGAGCAAAAAAGTTTGTCTCAGCCTCAGCTCCAGCGTTTTCATAGTTTGCTGACTGCAAACATTTTTAGGCGCTACTTGAGGCAGAAAGTGCAGAAAGGGAACACAGAATGTGGTGTTTCAGAATCTCCAATGCTAATGAATATTTGAGAGATGAAACTATTGGGCCAATTTGCTTAAATTTCAGTTTTCAGTATCGTAAAATCATAAAGATAGTTCGGTAAAAGTTTAAAACAATTACATGCATTTGCTTTAATCACAGTGGATGAAACGTTAAGGAAAAAAATCCTGAGACACTGCAACCGAGGTATGATCTTTCTGCACCCAGCGCTTCAATTTTGGCCTCGATTTCAATTATTTAGGCGCTTTTAGCGCATGACGCCTGTCGGATTCACACTCCGTTGTGGAGTTGATTTCAGCGAGAAGAATGGACCACTAGATAAGGTACGAATTTCAGCATTCTGATTCACGTTTCTTAACCAAAATTTCACGTAAAACACGATGCACACAACGAAAATTACCGAAATTAACTCCTTACGAAGATATTTAATGATTCTTAATGCGTGAAATCAAACCACCCGCTCATGAAAACACAATGCTCTTCGTGATTCACATCGCGCGCTAAACGTTATCATGACAGTCTCTGCGATATAAAAATCTGGCAACCTTAATCTTGACGCTTTGGCTCAGTTATAGCAAATTGCTAATAGTTTGAACAACACATGATGGGGAACGAACATTGCTCGATTGAGAACCGTTGCTGAAACCGCTGTAGTGGGCGATTTGACTCACGTAGAGTTTTGAGTTTCTTGTGAGCGGGCAGTTCAAATTTCTCGTAACCAATGTGAAATAAAAAAAAAAAACGTTAATATCTTCGTTAGGAGTTGGTTTCAGTAATGTTCGTTGTGTGAATCGTTTTCCACGTGAAATTCTGGTTAAGGAACACGTATCAGATCGCTTAAATTCGTACCTTGTCTAGTGGTCCATTCGAACCTACATTTTCATGAAGAGAACATCAGCTCTGGATTCTATGAAAGTACACGTATCTCAGGGATCATCAAAAATGGATTGGCCTCCTTTATGAAGGTATGGGTTCCCTTTATCGTTGCGGAAGTGTGGTTTCTCGCTGTAATCAATCCGGTTGCAGTCGTAAGTTTCGCAGAGAGGACGGCTCCCTAACGGTAGAACTCACACGCTCGACTCATTCATGCGTTAAGTGCCAAGACACACCTTCCGATCCGATATTTTCTGCATCTCCCTCACAATTCTCTATCGCATTTAGGAAGAACGCCTTGTGAGCCTTCAGATGCTGCCTTTTCATAGATAAACCACGAATTTTCGAGGAAATATGCAACTTTCTTCCTTCCGATTCTCCAGAGGATTCTTCTCGCTTTTCGATCGAAATAGTCTGAAATTGGAAGAAAAATGTTCGTTACTTTCTTCACAACTAAATCTTCTCTGAGAGGAATTTTGGCAACATTCAGATGTTCATGCGCTGTTTTTGCCTAGCACGGTAGTTCTGAAATCGACACGGAGAGGATGTACGAGCACTGACTTTAGAGCTGCCGTGCTATAAGGAAGAACGCCGTATGAGCATTCGAGATTTGCCAAATTTCCCATGATAAAACGTGTATTTTTGACAACATTCATGCATATTTTTCCTTGAAATTTTCGGATATTTTAGATTAAATCGCGCACTGAATCTACTGAACATTTCGGATACTAATATTCATAATTTCCCAAGTAAATTCGAGGTTTATCGTAAGAAACTTGGCAACGTCTGAAGGCTCATACGGCGTTCTTTCTTAGCACGGCAGAAAGTCTCTTGCTGCGCCGTAAATCGTTGACTTCAGTGGATTTTGGTCCTTCCAAGAGGCCAAGAACCTCATTGGAAACAGAAGCTCTACTTCGAGATCATGGTTCTTGGGCGGTTCCTTCGAATCGATTCGAGAAACTGTCTTGCGAGACTTATTTTGCCAAGTCTGTCTATTTCAATGTTCATTTAATCAAATATGAAAATAGAAATAGAATCCCCGAGAGAAAATCCCCGTTCTTTTTTGTTTTTTTATCCCACGAATATAATATCCCTGATAAAATCAATCAATCAGAGCTTTTCGGTTAACGTGGTTGGAAAATGTTGTACTATAAAGATGGAGGCGGATTTTTGGGTTCTAGTTGGAAAGCCACCGTTGTCCTGAATCGAGGAAATGCTGGAATCCTTAAAAATGGGAGTGAAAGTAATTAATTTACCGAACTTTATTGTTAGTCGCAGTAAATCGGAAAAATTGGGTTGAATGGTATATTAGTGTGTTGTCGTAATTCTCTCGCTGTCAGCCAGCTCTTGCAACAGTGGAGGTTTTTCATTCATCTTTCAGTGAAAACTGGGTATAACTGTAAAGATTTGTTACTCAAAAGGCAGCCTCGCAAGCCTGTCATGTTCTTACCTCCAAAAAGGGTCGCCGATTTCACAGATAGGCGTGAAAGAGGCCCTTGGAGGGACTGTTGTAAATCAACTCGGCGCGGCGTGGCGGGTTTATGATGCCAGTGAATTCACTTTCTTTTCAGTTTTTCCACGCGTATTCTTCCCTTGTTTTTTGTTGTTTCCACGTTTTGACATTTCCACCAAAATAATACCCTCTTCAAGTGACATTCCCTGACATCAAAGGCGAGCCCAATGACGCGGAATCCTAGACCGCGGCCCAATTTCTCAGAGACGAGTGCCGTCACTTTTCAAAACCGCACGATTTCTCCCTGGAAAATCGTGAGCTGGGTGAATGTCGGCGATTTTCACGCGTGCATGAAGGGCAGGGCTCCCTAGCAGTGGTGTTTTCGTGCCTCTAATGCTGCTGAGATCGTGCAATTTTTCATATCACTGGAAAAAAGTCTCTTGGGTCTAGAGTTCAGACGCCTAGGTAGTTTGACGAGAAAAAAATGCTCTTGATCTAATCGGATTTTTGCTTCCACTGAGAACTAAACCTCTTAATTTGAACGATATCCCTTCGATACGAGCAAAGATCCGATCGAATTAGGAGTATTTTTTCTCGTCAGTTTTTTTAAGAGTTGGTCTCTGGATTTAAGAGACTTTTTTTTTCATTNCCCGAACCTCGACTCATCCATCGCCCGCTCCAAAAGTGAGGTTAAGCCGGAGATTGAAAAATAACACATAAGGCGGCTGAATTCTTGAAAAATAAGTATATTTTTGGCGTTTTTCGACCCCTTCCGACAAGGAAGGGCCCGTCGCATCTATTAGTATGACGAAAAATTCGATTTTTCGCAGTTATACGCGATCCTACGGCTTTTAATGAAGTCCAACAACTGATAACAGCAGTGAGTTGCGAGGATCCTACGCGCGATAGCAGCACTAGTACCTGCTCACGAATTTTTACATTGACTCTTACGGGAGTCCAGGGTCCTATAGAACTGGTCCCTGATTTTACCGACGGAGCCCCCAAAGCACCCAAGCTCAATACTTGAAGGGTTTAAAGGCAATAACAATGCCCAGGCCGTTATAATTGACCCAACTTAGAACTGCTTCAAGTCCCCAAGAAAATGAAATCTCACTTGGTCGACAGGCGAATACCCGAATACATCTTCGACAAATATGCGAGTAATTAAAAGTCTTCCCCACTCGGATCATTTTTCATCTTAATTCGTCTGCCTGTCTTGGCCTGCCTCTACCCGGAATCCGAGTCGGGGTACACCTGATTTAATTTGAGGCGCTCCGGCAGGCGTATCTCACCCTTAAAATGGTTTTTTTGACCTTTCATTCGCTCATTATCATCATTTCTTCAACCGCGGATCAGTACGTTTTAAAAAATATACTATTGAACTCGACCATCAAAACCTTAAGTTTATTTCACGACTACACCTCACAGAGCATCGGTTTTTTTTTCGCGGTTGTGAAACGCTCAGAATTCAGCGCGATCGATTGAAAACTTCATGAGGATAAACAACACTTGACTGATAATATCGCGACAGGAAGCCTCTCTCAGAAATCAACATAAATAATCAATTATTTATATGTTTGCTTCATCATTAGTTTTATCTCCCCGCTTTACTATTGAACGATCAGATTCAGGCAGAACCGGCCTCAGGCTATCATTGTTTTTAGTTTTTACTTTTCTTCGCCGTCTTACGTGAGCGCCCGAGTTCAATAGTTTGTTAAATCTAAACCAAAAAATGCAAAATCCGTCTCCCTTCTTTTTTAATACGGGAGGACGTACGGTGGAAAGTAGTAAAATTTCGTGGTCGAATTCCTCTTTTGAGCGTTTTCTCCCACTTTACTCACATTTTTTTATTTTACATTTTTACTCTTTTTCGTGTAACGATTGTTATCCATGTGTGTTCAAATTTTCGTGGACGCTATCTAAAGTGGAACCTCTCTATTCTTAAATCCAATGTAGCCGACATAATGTCTGTGTCAGCCTTTTTTCCCCGCACAAATTCCCCTTATCTTTAAAGTCCGAATGTGGTGTCTGGTGATGAAAATGCAATTAAGTTTAGAGAATCCATTTTCTAACATTATTTTTACTTAGTAATGTATTTATAAGCCTGTGAGGGCCGCCGTGTCAATTTGTAAAATGTTTCATTAATACATTATGCTTTGTTTTTAATTTCAGGAAAAGGTTGGGTCAAGTCAAGGATACTCTTCAAGTAAAAATGCTTCAAGATCTGATCTCAGCCCCGTTTTCGGTGAGTCCATTTTCCTACACAGTCGTGAGTCCTTCTCTGAAATTCAAGTTTTTCCCCTGAAAATTGATGAATAATTACCCTGCAAAATTTCATAGGTCTGGCTACTTCGATCATAAACTCATACGTCCCATCTTTGAGATGCGAGTTAAAAAGGTCAGGTATAACGTGTGCGCTACAACTGCACTCGTGAGTTTTTCAGTCAAGTAGTTTGGCTCAAACCCTAATCTGTCAGTTAATTGGTGTAAAAATATGCGAGACTGCATTCATACACGAGACGCTGTTATTATGGTGCGCTTATAATTATCTCGGGCTTGCAGGCGGTGTGCAGTTGATGGCAAAGAGAAGAGGTGAGAACTCGCGGAGAGAGGAATGTTTATTTCCGTTTAGTGAACTTTTTTCGTTTAGATGCCCACCGTGTCGGATGTTATTGCTTTCAAGCTCCGTATACTAGACTTGTGTGTTTCAAGCGGGGTTTTGATCCCTAAATATTTCAACTCCAAATTCTATCATTGGGACCGAATAACCACTATGCACTGAGCCGTCTTGGTGTGAGGATTTTGAGCTATAATATGCAAATCGGTCTCCTTTTAACTTTCTGCAACATTTACCGTCAATTTTAATATACTTGCGATAGATATTTCATTTTCACAGACTTTTCCGAGAATGATACGAAAAATTCATATCGGTACGTCACGGTACAAAGTGGGCACAATTTTTCATATGCATCTAGTACCTGCATTTACCCGGAGTCTAGGGTTTTACCTAGATGCAGAATTTACGTACTAATGCGATAATCCTTGGCCAGCTTTTTATTCAAATAAAATTATTTGCCTAGAACTTGAAAATATGTCAGCGGGCCGATTATTGAAATTGATAGACAAAGCTATAGACAAAGAAGAGAAAAGGGATTTGAGAGATTCGATTGGTGGAAGCGGGTGGTCGCATTGGACAAAGGGGATAAGTAACACACTAACCAACGGCAATCCACGAGGGTCTCTTGGCTAGTCCATCATTTTCTCCCTTAGTCTATAGGAACCACCCACTTCAACCAAAAGGATCACTCCATATCCCTTTTGTATTCTTTGTCTATAGCTTTGTCCGTCGATTTCATTAATCGGGCACTGCGGGCCGATTATTGAAACTGATAGACAAAAAGGACCTAGGGAGTATGGAGCGATCCTATTGGTTAAAGTGTGTGGTTTCTATTGACTAAGGGACAAATGATGGACTAGCTGTCGGGTTTCTCGTGGATTGCCGTTAGTTAGTCTATTACCTACTACCTCTGTCCACTGCAACCACCTACCCGTTTCCACTCATAGAATCCCTCCAAATCCCTTTTGTCGTCTTTGTCTATAGCTTTGTCTATAAGTTTCAACAATCGGCCCGCTGGAATGAAAGTGGATGTAGTGAATTTAGAGAAGTGGATCCTCGCGACTGGGATTCCTCAATTTGGCCAGAGGTACACCCGAGTCGGAGAGATCTCATTGGGAGATTATTCCGGATTCAGGGTGAAAAGAAGCCTCAATTATGGGTTGCATTTCTCTGAAGCGGCCGTGGCCGAGCGGACGGGTCGCGGAATCGGAGGGTTCGCAGATTTCCCGGGCCCGAGCCGGGCTCTAACCGGCAGCCTTGAACCCTAGACATCGACGGACGTGATCTGCGCTGCCGCCACCTTTCGCCGCTATGAGTCCATATCCTTCCTCCAGAGAGTATGCAAGGTTCGACACTCTCTGCCTTCCTCCGGCAGCTTGACCCATGTCCACTCCTTCTCCAGGATCCTTCCGTAATTCACTGATCTGCAAACCTAAATCCTCACCTGCCGCACTCAAAGAGCAAGTATGGGAAGAGTGACTCACCGGCCGAGTTATGGATCATGGAGCCATGTAATGTAGTTCATAAAGCCATACTGTAGACGGTCAGTCACTTTGGTTAGAAATTATGGATCTCCGAGCCATTTTTCATGGGTCTCAGAGTCATACCTTTTTTTGAGTGCGCCCGAAATATCCCAAACGCCATGCGACTTTTCAAAATTCCCCCCGACATTTTTTTTTTTTTTTTTTTTTTTTTTTTTTTTTTTTTTTTTTTTTTTTTTTTTTACAAAGAAATTGTTGGTCGAACCAGTTTAAAAGTTTCTCTGAATTTTATTGGCAGCATGAAGAAAATTCAGTAAAATTTTCGGACAACTTCGTTGAAAAATGTATCTGTAAAAATCAAATGGCGGCGGAAATTTTGAAACGTCGCATGGCGCTTATGATAATTTGGCCGGAAGGTGGCGATTTGTTGCCTTTAACCGATTGGAAGCATTTGAATCGAAAGGAACTCTGTCCATTAAGGCTCTCTTGAGCTTTTAAATCCAAAATTTCCGTATTTTCAAGACGATCCACCGGAAAATAGGAGGAACTCGCAGACTTGAGGAGAAATCGGGTACATTTTAGGAAGCGGTCAGAAATGAAGATTCTTAGACGTGTTGTTGACAACTGAGAAAGACTCGACGGACAAATTTCGTATTTTCCCAGAGAATCTGCTCAATAGTAGGAGGAAATCGTGGGTTCTCAGGGAAAATTTCGTCTTTTCCCAAAGAATCAGCTTCAATGTATGGAAAAATAGCAGGTTCGCAGGAAAAATTTCGCCTTCTGAATCTGCTTGATGTAGGAGGAAACGGCAGGTTTTGAGGAAAACTCCTGGAAATCGAAGGGATAGGATAGAATCGGAGAATTCTAGACACGACGGTGACAACTGCGGGTGGATGTGGCAGCGCGGTTCGGGCCCTCGCCCCGGAGGGAGGCGAGGTGGCGATGGGTCGTGCCGGTCGTTACCGGTGGTCAGCCGAGCCGATTGTGCGCCGCGCTGGTTGCGCCGCCGTCGCCGCCGCCGCCGAGCCGCGCGTCGGAGGAGGGTGTNGGGGGGGGGGGGGGGGGTTCGGGGCGCAGTTCCATGAGTTCCATGTTGGATTGTCGGGGCTCGGCGACCATGCATGGCGTGGCCCTCCACTCGCCACCCAAAGATGGGATTGTCCCGCATCCGCGTTGCCACATCCAACCGTCTCTCACGATCCGCCGCCACCGCCACAGGTGGAATCCCCCGGAAATTCCGAGTAGCCCTCGAATCCGCTCAAATCAATCACAATCAGTGTTCGAAACTCACAGGCGCCAGCGCGCCTAATGCGCCTGTGAAATCGGCCATGGCGCCTAAAAAATGAAGGCTCTTCGCCAACGTGGCCCCCAAAGCATTGCCTCCTAAAAATCTGGATTTTCACAGGAAGTCGCATAAAGAAAGAAAAACAAATCTATTTGAATTGAAAAAACTCAGAATTTTCAGCAGTACAGGTGTAAGCTCTCAGCTTTGTTTCCTATTTAGTTTCCCTGTTTTCCGATTGAGAGTGTAGTTGTGATATTGTGAAACATTTTTGTTCTTCTACCGCGCTAAACACCATGGACTATCCTGGCAACCCCTTGTGGCTTTTGCGATGTTTTGAGATTTGTAGGATGTAATGGTGGAAACAGGGACAATTGGACAGCTTTTGAATCGGTGATTCTCATTCCAACCCATGATTTTTGTCGTCTCATCTCGTATACAAAAAAAAAAAAAAATTGGCGACTGGAACATGACCGCAAGCCCCAAGACCCCACTGAAAAAGAAGGAAAAGCCATATGAAGGAGATGGAGCTGATATAAATGGAAATGAAACGAGTGAGAGGAGGATACTGGGAGCGAGATTCAGTCTCGGAACCAGAGAGGATCGGAGTCAGAGGTGGACCTGGAGGAGTCGCAATCAGGAAGGAGTCTCGGGATAGCGTTGAGAAGAGAATAAGAAGGAATAACGGAGGACGGTGGAAGCTGGCGGAAAGGAGAAAAGCGGAAAGGAAGGGGGGGGGGATTTGGAGTGAAGAAGGATGATAAAAAATGTCTAACAAGTGGATAGGAGGTGGAAGGAAGGCTAGGCTTAAGGCAACAGCGAGGAGTTACAGACATTCCTAAGCCCCTAAGCAGTTGAAAATAAGGTTTGTACGGCGGAGGCGGGAGGGGGCGAGGGGGCTCAAACCAGTTTTCATTGAATCGAGAGGGTTCTAACAAGGCGAGTTATGAACTGTACAACCTGTTCAATTCTCCTCTCTATGATTGTGTAGGAAATCCGTGCCTCATCCTTCAACACTTGCTTAACAAAAAAATTACCTCCTCCTCTCCGTAATTATCCTCATTAATTTCTCCATTCTTTCGAGTTCGATTCGTCGCCTTTCTTCGCCCCCTTTCCACCCTCCGGAACCTTCCTTTTTCTCGCCTTATCATTTTTTCGGCCCTGCCTCGCAACACTTCCCGCATCTTTTTTTTTCCCTCGCAGCTTCCCTTGCAAGTTTTTATTGCATTAGTTCTGCAACATTACTCCATGTTTATCTTCATTTAGCTCCCGTTCCGACGAGGTCGGCGCCGTAATTTGCGCAACAATTTTATCACGGTGGATTTTCATTCCGTTGCGCATCCTTTTTCAGGCATCCGTGGCTAGTTCCTCACCCTTGATAATTGACAATTAGCATCCGGACTTCTTTTTCGAGCCAGTGGCCCTGATTGCAATTTTTTGTGTGTTTCGTGCAGCTAAAAATAAAGGCGAAACAAAACGGCGCATTGTAAATTAATTATAGCGTTAAATTAAATAGTTTGCTTCATCCAAATTCCGGCCGATCATTTCATACAAGACTCAGACTTTAACTCAACGACCCAAGTTCTGTCCTATGCACTCAAACAATTAGCTTTCTACTTAAAAGATCCTCGAAAAGTATTATGGAGATTAAAAGAAAAATGCTCCCCATAAATGTAACATGATTATTTTAATGAAAAAATGGAGGCGCAAGTTGCAATCGCGGAGTCGAGGAATCTTCCTTGCTTATATCTATTTTAAATTTCTTTACACGAGTGTCTTATTTGTCTCGGTTTAGGCATGGTTTTCACCTCTCCCGTAGGAGTGCATTGTGATGCACGCGTTCTGAGTAGATGGTCTTCGGCTTG